TCATTTCCATGTCCCTAATCCATAGCCCAGTGCTGTACGTATGGTACTAAATATTTATTGAATGAAATAGTGAATAGCATTTCAGGGAGCAAGAACCAATTAACAAAGGTGGTAAAAGGTTTGGAGAAAAAAAATGAATAGTTTAATTTGGCTAGAATATGAGAGAGAATAGTAGGAGACAACATGGAAAGGTCCTTGGGCAAGGTTTTGAAGGGAGTTGGAAGTCAGAAGTACAAAATGTGCATATTGTGGTAGGCAGTGGGGCTTTTGAGCAGGAGAGTAATGTGATGAAAAATAAATTTAGGTTAAACCTATCAGAGTGCCTCTGACATATACACTGGCTTTTCATTCAAGCTCAAATTTGTCTCCCACATACCCATTACCTAACTCACCCTCAGCTCCCCTAGTAGCATGCCCTACCCCTTTACCTGCTTCCTGGTGGAGTCAGGGATGTATACATAAGCTACTTTCCCTCTCAGCCAGAGGACGTGGGGGCCCCAGCTCCCCTGCCTTTCCCCTTCCGTGCCTGGAGCTGGGAAGCAGGCCAGGGTTAGCTGAGGCTGGCTGGCAAGCAGCTGGGTGGTGCCAGGGAGAGACTGCATAGTGCCAGGTGGTGCCTTGGGTTCCAAACTGAGTCCATGCCCCTGATAACCTTCTGCCTATGCACACACCTGCCCCTCACTCCACCTCCATCCTGGCTTTGGTATGGAGGAGGGGGCACGGGCCAGACAGACCTATGAGACTTTGGCTCCATCTCTGCAAAAGGGCGCTCTGTGAGTCAGCCTGCTCCCCTTCAGGTTTGCTCCTCCCCAACCCAGTTCTTGTTTCCAATGCACGTACAGCCCGTACACACTGTGTGCTGGGACACCCCACAGTCAGCTGCATGGCTCCCCTGTGCCCCAGCCCCTGGCCCCCTCTGTTGATCCCAGCCCCTGCTCCAGGCCTCACTGTACAACTGCTGCTGTCACTGGTGTTCCTGGTGCCTGCCCATTCCCAGAGGCTGCCCCAGATACAGGAGGATGCGCCCCTGGGAGGAGGCTCATCTAAGGAAGATGACCCACTGGGCGAGGAGGATCTGCCCAGTGAAGAGGAGCCACCCAGAGAGGAGGATCCACCTGGAACAGGAGATCTACCCAGAGGAGAGGATCTACCTGAAGTTAAGCATAAACCAGAAGGAGAGGGCTCCCTGAAGTCAGAGGATATATCTACTGTTGAGGCTCCTGGAGATCCTCAAGAACCCCAGAATAATGCCCACAGGGACAAAGAAGGTAAGTGGTCATCAGTCTCTGAATCCAGGTTCCAGGAGATTCATGCCTCCCCTCCCATACCCCAGCCTAGGCTCTGGTCACTAAGGGAAGGAGGGGAGCATGTACTCCCACAGAAGCCCTTCCAGAGGTCCCATACCAATATCCCCATCCCCACCCTCCGAAATAGAAAGAGGCAGATGGGGAGAGAAAATAAAAAGGGGCACAGAAGGAGAGAAGTGAGCAGGATGAGATGAGAGAGAAAGGGGAGGCTGAAGAAGAGAAAGGGCTGAGATATGCAGATGAGAGAAAAATGTGCAGACAGAAAAAACAGACGGAGAGCCAGAGTTTGAGGGGGAGAGAAAAGGATTGGGAGGTGAAGGGGACATCAGAGGACAAGCAAGAAGAGCTTGTAGAGGTCATCTCATCTTCAGTCTACTATGAGGAAATTGAGACCTAGGAAGAAGGACACAGCAGGTAGAGGAACGTGGCGTCTTGACTCTCAGGCCAGGAATTTTGGGAAAGGGATTGGAGACCAGACAAGGCAGAGGGATGAGTGGGGAGGAGAAAGAAGGGAGAAAGGAAAGATGGTGTACTCACTCATTTGGGACTTAGGACTAAAGCACCCACTCACTTTTTTTTTTTTTCCGAGACGAAGTTTCACTTCTGTTGCCCAGGCTGGAGTGCAATGGGGTGATCTGGGCTCACTGCAATCTCTGCCTCCCGAGTTCAAGCGATTCTCCTGCTTCAGCCTCCTGAGTAGCTGGGATTACAGGCCCCCACCACCACACACCTAGCTAATTTTTGTATTTTTCCTAGAGACGGGGTTTCGCCATGTTGGTCAGGCTGGTCTCTAACTCCTGACCTCAGGTGATCCACCCGCCCTGGCCTCCCAAACTGCTGGGATTACAGGTGTGAGCCACAGTGCCCGGCCTAAAGCGCCCACTCACCTTTACAGACCCTAAGACAATGATTGCAAACTGGTAGGATTGCTGTTTGGCCCACTCAGCTGCGGCGTTAAGTTTAGTTGCGGTCGCCTGTGCTTTGCACCTGGCCCGCTTAAGGCATTTGTTACTCATTGTGCATCTGAGTTTGTGACACGGTTTTGGCCGCCGGGAAGGAATTGGGCTCTAAGCTTGGCCTGTTCATCCTTTTCATTTATACAGGGGATGACCAGAGTCATTGGCGCTATGGAGGTGAGACAACCACCCTCGGCACAGACCCAATCCAGGAACCCAGCTCTGTGGATATGCCCCACTGCCGTCCCCGAACACTGGTTCGGGGCATCCCATCCGCCGCCCTCCGTGCCACCCCCTCACCTTTTCTACCCGGCCTCCCTAAGTTCCTGACCTAGATGTCAGACTTCCTCACCAGACTCTCCCACCCCAGGCGACCCGCCCTGGCCCCAGGTGTCCCCAGCGTGTGGGAGCCGCTTCCAGTCCCCGGTGGATATCCGCCCCCAGCTCGCCGCCTTCTGCCCCGCCCTGCGGCCGCTGGAACTCCTGGGCTTCGAGCTCCCGCCGCTCCCAGAACTGCGCCTGCGCAACAATGGCCACAGCGGTGAGGAGGTCTCCCTGCCGAGCCTTGGGGATGGTGCGGGCAGCATAGAACCGAACCGTCGTGGCTACATTGGGCTGGTCCTCCCAGGCAGGGCCGGCTCACTTGCCTGTCCCCACGCAGTGCAGCTGACTCTGCCTCCCGGGCTGGAGATGGCTCTGGGTCCCGGGCAGGAGTACCGGGCCCTGCAGCTGCATCTGCACTGGGGAGCTGCGGGTCGTCCGGGCTCTGAGCACACTGTGGACAGCCACCGTTTCCCTGCCGAGGTGAGCATGGAGCTGACAGAGAAGGGGCAACGGGGCGGGGCGGGGCCAGAGATATGGCCGTCTCCTACCGCTACCCTCGTGTCCTCTCCAGATCCACGTGGTTCACCTCAGCACCGCCTTTGCTAAAGTTGACAAGGCACTGGGGCGCCCCGGAGGCCTGGCCGTGTTGGCCGCCTTTCTGCAGGTACCAGACCCTGGACATCCCCTACTCGCCGCTTTCGCATCCCCTGCTCCCTCCCGGGCTCTGTATCGTGGCCCCAGAGACCCCATCCCAGCAGGCTCACTGTGGCCCCTGGCTGACATCCTCATTCACTCACTGTTCATTCATTCAACACCCACTATGAACAAGGCACCAGCCCACAACAAGGATTCTGAAGCTGTAGGTCCTTGCCTCTAAGGAGCCCACAGCCAGTGGGGGAGGCTGACATGACAGACACATAGGAAGGACATAGTAAAAATGGTGGCCACAGAGGAGGTGACACTTAAAGGCTTTACTAATGGGAAGGAAAAGGAAATGTTCATTGCAGAGGGAACAGATTGTGCAAAGACAGAATATGGCCTGTTTAGGGAATGGCACCTGCAATGTATTAGACATCAGGAAGAGTAATTTCTCTAATACTCCAATGACCCATCATGTCCCCTTTGTGAAATGCAGTGTTTAGTGACTTCTTTGCACTCATAATAATCAAGGCTACATACACTATGATTAGAGGAGGCTAGTAAAGGGAAGGGATGGTGAGATGCCTGCTAGGTTCACTCACTCATTGATTATTATTATTTTTTGAGATGGAGTCTCACTCTGTTGCCCAGGCTAGAGTGCAGTGGTGTGATCTTGGCTCACTGCAACTTCTGCCTTCCACGTTCAAGTGATTCTCCTGCCTGAGCCTCCCAAGTAGCTGGAATTACAGGTGTGTGCCACCACGCCCTGCTAATTTTTTGGTATTTTTAGTAGAGATGGGGTTTCGCCATGTTGGTCAGGCTGGTCTCACTCCTGGCCTCAATTGATCTGCCCACCTTAGCCCCAAAATGCTGGGATTACAGGTATGAGCCACCATGCTGGGCCACGCTCACTGATTCTTTAACACCAGCCATACAGCACAAAGTTCAGAGAAATGGCTCTGAAATAGCATGTTAGTATGTTCATACTGTTAGTTTCATAATGTTCATAACATTAGGTTCATAAGCAAAAGAAGAAAAAAGAATAATAAAAGAAGTAGCATATCAGGACCTTACCTGAAAAGCCAAACACAGAATCATGGAGGTGAATATAGAGGTGATATGAACACAAAGGTGTATATATGGTTTCCTGTGGGGAGCATGTGTGGAGGCAGCAGTGACACTTCAAACGTTAGAAGGGCTGAGGTCACTGAGAACCTAGTATCCTAGTAAAATGGCCTCTCTCCCTCCCTCTCCAGCTTGTCACTGAAAACTAGTCCACCGACCTGGCGTGGTGGCTCGTGCTTGTAGTGCTTGTAATCCCAGCACTTTGGGAGGCTGAGGTGCAGATCAAGAAGTCAGGAGTGGCCGGGTGCGGTGGCTCAAGCCTGTAATCCCAGCACTTTGGGAGGCCGAGGCGGGTGGATCACGAGGTCAAGAGATCGAGACCATCCTGGTCAACATGGTGAAACCCCGTCTCTATTAAAAATACAAAAAATTAGCTGGGCATGGTGGTGCGTGCCTGTAATCCCAGCTACTCAGGAAGCTGAGGCAGGAGAATTGCCTGAACCCAGGAGGCGGAGGTTGCGGTGAGCCGAGATCGCGCCATTGCACTCCAGCCTGGGTAACATGAGTGAAACTCCATCTCAAAAAAAAAAAAAAAAAAAAAAAAAGAAGTCAGGAGTTCAAGACCAGCCTGGCCAACACAGTGGAACTCCGTCTCTATTAAAAAAATATATATAAATTAGCTGGACATGGTGGTGGGCACCTGTAATCCCAGCCACTCGGGAGGCTGAGGCAGGAGAGTCGCTTGAACTTGGGAGGTGGAGGTTGCAGTGAGCTGAGATCGTGTCACTATACTCCAGCCTGGGCCGACAGAGGAGACTCCATCTCAAAAAAAAAAAAAGAAAGAAAACCAGTCCACCAAACTCTATGTACTCTTGCTGTGCAAGCTCTTGGTTTGAGTACATAGAGTTTGAGTAAGAATGCATAAGAAAACCATTACAATTTCATGTTCCCTCAGCATTCTCAGAGCTGAGGAATGGGAGAGGACTATGGGAACCCGCCCTCACCTTCTGGCCTCCAGCCATGGCCCTGGATACATGCATTCATCTGTCTTACAATGTTATCCCCCAGGAGGGCCCGGAAGAAAACAGTGCCTATGAGCAGTTGCTGTCTCACTTGAAAGAAATTGCTGAGGAAGGTCAGTTTGTTGGTCTGGCCACTGCTCTGTGTGCCCTAGTGCATAAAGAATCACCCTTGGGAGCTTCAGGTCTGAGGCTGGAGATGGGCTCCCTCCAGTGCAGGAGGCGTTGAAGTGTGAGCCGGCTCTCATCTTGATGATAACCATGAAGCTGACACAGTTACCTGCAAACGGCTTCCTACAGATTGAAAACCTAGCAAAAACCAAAATTAGACAAAAAACCAAATAAGACCAAAAAATGGTATTTGGATTGTCAAAGTGAAGTCTTGAGAGCAAAACTTTTTCTGATAACTATTTATCTTTAATAAGCATCAACTATTTTAACTTTGTAAATACTTTTAGAAATCTTTCCCTTCTCAGTCACTCTTGGGTTATTTTAAACCTCACTTACTCTACTAGACCTTTTAGGTTTTAGCTAGACTAGGTAGAACTCTGCCTTTGCATTTCTTGTGTCTGTTTTATATTGCTATCAATATTCATATTTATTTGTAAGTCATTCAGATCACTTTTTCTTTTTAATTCACTCTGGACTTAAACCTATTGCCCAGGACTTTATGATGGTACACAGAGTTAAGAGTGTAAACTCTTGTGGCCGGGCGCGGTGGCTCAAGCCTGTAATCCCAGCACTTTGGGAGGCCGAGGCGGGTGGATCACGAGGTCAAGAGATCGAGACCATCCTGGTCAACATGGTGAAACCCCGTCTCTACTAAAACAAAAAATTAGCTGGGCATGGTGGCACGTGCCTGTAATCCCAGCTACTCAGGAGGCTGAGGCAAGAGAATTGCCTGAACCCAGAAGGCGGAGGTTGTGGTGGGCCGAGATCGTGCCATTGCACTCCAGCCTGGGTAACAAGAGCGAAACTCCGTCCCCCCACCAAAAAAAAAAAAAGAGTGTAAACTCTGATGGTCTTTCTTCTTTCCTTCTCTTCCTTCTTCCCTTCCCTCCTTCCTTTCTTCCCCCCCTCTCCCTCCCTGAGACCTCTTCCAGTTGCCCCAAAGCCCTGTACTTTTTTTGTTACATCTTATGGGAAGGGCCTGCACTTAGTGAAGAAGTGGTCTCAGAGAGTTGAGTTTCTTTGGCTTCTGGGACGTGAAACTGTATCCCTATACCCTGAAGCTTTAAGAGGAGGCAATGTAGGTGAGACACCAGCATAGATCCTCTTCACAGGCTCAGAGACTCAGGTCCCAGGACTGGACATATCTGCACTCCTGCCCTCTGACCTCAGCCGCTACTTCCGATATGAGGGGTCTCTGACTACACCACCCTGTGCCCAGGGTGTCATCTGGACTGTGTTTAACCAGACAGTGAGGCTGAGTGCTAAGCAGGTAGGCCTGGGGTACATATGGACACAGTGGATGTGGGGGAAAAGGAAGTAAAAGAGATGAGAAAGACGAGAAGAAATCAATGGGTTCTGTGGCTCATACCTATAATCACAGCATGCTGGGAGGCTGAGGTGGGAGAATCGCTTGAGCCCAGGAGTTCAAGACGAGCCTGGGCAACATAGTGTGACCCCATCTTTACCAAAGGAAAAAAAAAAATAGCTGGGTATGGTGGTGTGCGCCTATAGTCCCAGATACTCAGGAGGCTGAGGTGGGAATATCACTTGAGTCCAGGAGTTTGAGGCTGTGATGAGCTATGATCCCACCACTGCAACCATCTTTAGGATACATTAATTTATTCATAAAAGAAATCAAGGGGTCGGTGGGGCATATAGGAGATCGAGGGTGGAGCCCTGAGGTGCTGGCTGTGAGCTGGTCTGGGAACCTTGTTTCCTGTCACTCCATGAACTCACCCACACCGTCTACCGACCTCCCTAGCTCCACATCCTCTCTGACACCCTGTGGGGACCTGGCGACTCTCGGCTACAGATGAACTTCCGAGCGACGCAGCCTTTGAATGGGCGAGTGATTGAGGCCTCCTTCCCTGCTGGAGTGGACAGCAGTCCTCAGGCTGCTAAGCCAGGTGCAGCTTTGTCTGGTATCCTCCAGCCAGGGGTCCCTCATCCTCCCATGTATGTGCCAGTGACTGTCATTGGTGGTCAAAGGCCTCTCATGTCTCCTTTCTCTTTCCAGTCCAACTGAACTCCTGCCTGGCTGCTGGTGAGTCTGTGCCCCTCCTCTTGCTCCTGATGCCAGGAGACTCCTCAGCACCATTCAGCCCCAGGGCTGCTCAGTACTGCCTCTGCTCCCTCTCCTTTTCTGCAGAACCGACCCCAACCCCAATGTTAGAGAGGCAGATCCTGGTGGGGATTCCCCATTGTCCTCAGGGCCAAGCTGATTAGAATGAAGCTTGAGAAATCTCCCAGCATCCCTCTCCCAAACAACCCCTCGGCCTTTTTTTAGAGATAGGGTCTCACTCTGTTGCCTAGGCTGGTGTTGTGGCATGATCATAGCTCACTGCAGCCTTGAACTCCTAGGCTCAGGCAGTCCTTTCACCTTGGCCTCTCAAAGCACTGAGACTGTAGGCATGCACCACCATGACCAGACCCAAACAACCCTTTGACTCGGCTTTTAGGAAGGAAAAATGGTGCTTAACTTTTCCCTTCTCATGTATCTACCCCCATCCCTTGGCTGGCCTCTTCTGGAGACTGAGGCACTGGGGACTGCCTGAGAACTTGGGGCAGGGGCGGGGGATGAACTGAGGCAGGCATTGAGGAACTCTGCAGCTCCCTCTTCCTTCCTGAAGCAGCCCTCTCCTCTCCCCATCCTAGGTGACATCCTAGCCCTGGTTTTTGGCCTCCTTTTTGCTATCACCAGTGTCGCCTTCCTTGTGCAGATGAGAAGGCAGCACAGGTATTACACCCACCGTTTCCTCAGGCACAACCTTCCCCAACCCCATGCAAATGAGCTCCTCCTGGGCCAGTTTTCTGATTAGCCTTCCCTGTTGTTGTGTACACACAGAAGGGGGGCCAAAGGGGGTGTTAGCTATCGCCCAGCAGAAGTAGTGGAGGAGACCCGAGCCTAGAGGCTGATCTTGGAGAATGCAGAGAAGGCAGCCAGAGGCGTGGGGCGCCAGCAACTGTTCCGTCTGCTCATTAGGCCACTTCCTTTTTAATCACCAAGTAATTTTTAAAAATAAAAATTTATAGTAAAATATGTGTTAGTTACCTTTGTTCCCCAAACCAGAAGAATGGTATTTGAATTTTCTACTATTACTGTTATTAGCAGGAACTTGGTGGTAATGCATTTATTCTCTTATAGTTTGGAGGTCAGCAGTCAGACCTCAGTAGGGCTTGTTCCTGCTGGATGCTCTGAAAATAGAATGTTTCCTTGCCCTTTTCAGATTCTAGGAACCACCTGCATTCCTTGGTTCTTGGCCCCTTCCACACATCACTCCAATCTCTTCCTTCCATTGTCACAACTCCTACTACTGCCTTTGACCTCCTTGACCCCCAAGAACGCTGGGGATTACATTTGGCCTATCTAGATAACCAAGGATAATCACCCCATCTAAAAATCTTAGCTTAATCACAAAGTTTCTTCCCATGTAAGATAACAATATTGGGCCGGGCGCGGTGGCTCACGCCTGTAATCCCAGTACTTTGGGAGGC